ACCTCTGTGTAGGGGGGAGGGGGAGGCAGGTGGAGGTTGTCATGCTTGAGAGGAGTGCAGAGAGCTGTGTGATGTGGGTTCACCACACCGTTTTACCACCAGCTGATATATTATTACACCTGTGTGTAGGGGGGTGGGGCAGGGCAGGAGGAGGTTGTCATGTTTGAGAAGAGTGCTGGGAGCTGTGTGATGTGGGTTCACAACACCCTTTTACCACCAGCTGATATATGATTACACCTCTGTGTAGGGGGGAGGGGGAGGCAGGTGGAGGTTGTCATGCTTGAGAGGAGTGCAGAGAGCTGTGTGATGTGGGTTCACCACACCCTTATACCACCAGCTGATATATGATTACACCATGGTGTAGGGGGGAGGGGGGATTGTCATGTTTGAGAAGAGTGCAGAGAGCTGTGTGACGTGGGTTCACAACACCCTTTTACCACCAGCTGATATATTATTACACCTGTGTGTAGGGGGGAGGGGGGATTGTCATGTTTGAGAAGGGTGCAGAGAGCTGTGTGACGTGGGTTCACAACACCCTTTTACCACCAGCTGATATATGATCACACCTCTGTGTAGGGGGAGGGGGAGGTAGGTGGAGGTTTTTCATGTTTGAAAAGAGTGCTGGGAGCTGTGTGATGTGGGTTCACAACACCCTTTTACCACCAGCTGATATATGATTACACCTGTGTGTAGGGGGAGGGGGGATTGTCATGTTTTAGAAGAGTGCAGAGAGCTGTGTGATGTTGGTTCACAACACCCTTTTACCACCAGCTGATATATAATTACATATCTGTGTAGGGGGGAGGGGGTAGCCTATAATCTAGGCGGAGTGCCGAGCCTTTTTCTTTGCTGCTAGACTAACCCTAAGTAGAACGTCTGATACGGCGAGACTACGAACCGTGAGTCGCGAAGCGGCTCACCGCCTATAATCACTGGTCTAGCTAATCAATATTCATATATATTCAAAATGGCGGATCTATGAATCATTCAACAGCCCTACCAAATAAGGTACACCTATGTTACGTTCGACCAATCAGATATAAGAAACCGCAACGAAAAAAGATTGCGCTCGTCCACTTCTCCATACGTGTTTCTGATTGGTTGAGTTCATTTCGTATTCATGAGGTTTTTTCGTACGAAAAACTGCCACGGATTCATGGTCGATAATAAAAAAACAACGACTAAAGCTAGACCAGTGATTATAGGCGGTGAGCCGCTTCACGGCTCACGGTTCGTAGTCTCGCCGTATCAGACGTTCTGCTTAAGGTTAGTCTAGCAGCAAAGAAAAAAGCTTGGCACTCCGCCTAGATTATAGGCTAGGGAGGGGGAGGCAGGGGGAGGTTTTCATGTTTGAGAAGAGTGCAGAGAGCTGTGTGACGTGGGTTCACAACACCCTTTTACCACTAGCTGATATATGATTACACCTCTGTGTAGGGGGGAGGGGGAGGCAGGTGGAGGTTGTCATGCTTGAGAGGAGTGCAGAGAGCTGTGTGATGTGGGTTCACAACACCCTTTTACCACCAGCTGATATATGATTACACCATGGTGTAGGGCGGAGGGGGGATTGTCATGTTTGAGAAGAGTGCAGAGAGCTGTGTGATGTGGGTTCACAACACCCTTTTACCACCAGCTGATATATGATTACACCTCTTTGTAGGGGGGAGGGGAGGGAGTCATGTTTGAGAAGGGTGCAGAGAGCTGTGTGACGTGGGTTCACAACACCCATTTACCACCAGCTGATATATGATTACACCATGGTGTAGGGGGGAGGTGGAGGTTGTCATGCTTGAGAAGAGTGCAGAGAGCTGTGTGATGTGGGTTCACAACGCCCTTTTACCACCAGCTGATATATAATTACACTTGTGTGTAGGGGGGAGGGGGGGTTGTCATGTTTGAGAAGCGTGCTGGGAGCTGTGTGATGTGGGTTCACAACACCCTTTTACCACCAGCTGATATATGATTACACCTCTGTGTAGGGGGGAGGGGGAGGCAGGTGGAGGTTGTCATGCTTGAGAGCTGTGTGATGTGGGTTCACCACACCCTTTTACCACCAGCTGATATATGATTACACCATGGTGTAGGGGGGAGGGGGGGATTGTCATGTTTGAGAAGAGTGCAGAGAGCTGTGTGACGTGGGTTCACAACACCCTTTTACCACCAGCTGATATATTATTACACCTGTGTGTAGGGGGGAGGGGGGATTGTCATGTTTGAGAAGGGTGCAGAGAGCTGTGTGACGTGGGTTCACAACACCCTTTTACCACCAGCTGATATATGATTACACCTCTGTGTAGGGGGGAGGGGGAGGTAGGTGGAGGTTTTTCATGTTTGAAAAGAGTGCTGGGAGCTGTGTGATGTGGGTTCACAACACCCTTTTACCACCAGCTGATATATGATTACACCATGGTGTAGGGGGGAGGGGGGATTGTCATGTTTGAGAAGAGTGCAGAGAGCTGTGTGACGTGGGTTCACAACACCCATTTACCACCAGCTGATATATGATTACACCATGGTGTAGGGGGGAGGGGGGATTGTCATGTTTGAGAAGAGTGCAGAGAGCTATGTGATATGGGTTCACAACACCCTTTTACCACCAGCTGATATATGATTACACCTGTGTGTAGGGGGGAGGTGGAGGTTGTCATGCTTGAGAAGAGTGCAGAGAGCTGTGTGATGTGGGTTCACAACACCCTTTTACCACCAGCTGATATATGATTACACCTGTGTGTAGGGGGGAGGTGGAGGTTGTCATGCTTGAGAAGAGTGCAGAGAGCTGTGTGATGTGGGTTCACAACACCCTTTTACCACCAGCTGATATATGATTACACCTCTGTGTAGGGGGGAGGGGGAGGCAGGTGGAGGTTGTCATGCTTGAGAGCTGTGTGATGTGGGTTCACCACACCCTTTTACCACCAGCTGATATATGATTACACCATGGTGTAGGGGGGAGGGGGGGATTGTCATGTTTGAGAAGAGTGCAGAGAGCTGTGTGACGTGGGTTCACAACACCCTTTTACCACCAGCTGATATATTATTACACCTGTGTGTAGGGGGGAGGGGGGATTGTCATGTTTGAGAAGGGTGCAGAGAGCTGTGTGACGTGGGTTCACAACACCCTTTTACCACCAGCTGATATATGATTGCACCTCTGTGTAGGGGGAGGGGGAGGTAGGTGGAGGTTTTTCATGTTTGAAAAGAGTGCTGGGAGCTGTGTGATGTGGGTTCACAACACCCTTTTACCACCAGCTGATATATGATTACACCATGGTGTAGGGGGGAGGGGGGATTGTCATGTTTGAGAAGAGTGCAGAGAGCTGTGTGATGTGGGTTCACAACACCCTTTTACCACCAGCTGATATATGATTACACCTCTTTGTAGGGGGGAGGGGAGGGAGTCATGTTTGAGAAGGGTGCAGAGAGCTGTGTGATGTGGATTCACAACACCCATTTACCACCAGCTGATATATGATCACACCTCTGTGAAGGGGGGAGGGGGGATTGTCATGTTTGAGAAGGGTGCAGAGAGCTGTGTGACGTGGGTTCACAACACCCATTTACCACCAGCTGATATATGATTACACCTCTGTCTAGGGGGGAGGGGGAGGTAGGGGGAGGTTTTTCATGTTTGAAAAGAGTGCTGGGAGCTGTGTGATGTGGGTTCACGACACCCTTTTACCACAAGCTGATGTAAGATAACACCTCTGTGTAGGTGGGGGGGGGGGGGGTGGTCGTCATGGTTGAGAAGAGTGGAGAAAGCTGTGAGCAGGCCTGATAAAAACCCGATTTAAATCGGTTTCCCGATTTTTTCCCGATTTTTCCCGATTTTTTCCCGATTTTTTTTTTCTTCCCGATTTAAAAAAAAAAAAAAAAAAAAAAAAAAGTTTTTTTTTTTTTTTTTTTTTTTTTTACCAGATTTTTGTTTTTCTTCCCTTTTTTATCCTGATTTCCTGATTCCCCCTTATTTTCTCTATTCTTCCCTATTTTGCCCTATTTTTTTCTCCCAATTTTCTTACTCGAAAGGGGGGAATGTTGTTAGATGCCGTTTTTTCCCCGCGAATCGCTTTTTTTTTTTTTTACTCAAGGGGGGGCGTGGTTGAGGGGAAAACAAAAACCTATTTTTTTTTAGTGCTCACTATCACCCCTGATTTTGATCACATCTGACATTGTGAAGCCTCCGTTTAGGGCTTAGATGTCGACATTGTCGCTCAGTACCGTCTCTACGCTGTAGCTCTGCACCTCAAACTGAAGCTATCAGTCAAAAATTATGCAAACTTCTTGTATGGCTTATGTATTACGCGCATGCACGATACCATAAACCATACAAGAAGTTTGCTAGATGTGATCCAAATTCAGGTGGAAAATGCAATGGTTATGATTAAATTTTGTTAAAGATTGGGCAAAAATTCCTTTGCTATGAGTGGATATGATGAAACTGCCCCCAAAATGGATATGGAAGTACACTAGCGCCCAAATTTTGTTGTTAAATTTCTAGAAAAGCAATCCCAAAGCTGGCACTCAAAAATCCTACACTTAATGGAGCAATTTCTGTAATTTCAAGGCAATTCCAAACTCAATTCAAAACTCATATCTAGAAGTCAAAAACCAAATTAAATCCCTGGTGATTTCTCTCGTACTGTTGACTTTTGTTTCTTATCCGTCTGAAATTATGTCATCGTTGTTTCATCTTAACCAAAACAAATTAAAAATTGATGGACATCAACTGCATCCTGATACATCCAGACTATCCAAAATACATGTATTTTGTATTGCCCTTCAGGTGCCAAAACATGGGTCGGTCGGTCAGAATATTTTTTCCTCTCCTTCTTTGGGTTGATATTTTTCAGTTTTGAATGCTTAAAAAAAAAATTCTTTCGAGAAGCTGACCGTAAATTTCAAAATACTTGGGTCGGTCCCAAAGGGCAATACAACATGTTTTTTTAAAGGCCTTATAAGGTGATCTTAGTCTGATCAATACCAGTGAAATCCTTAACATTTCACACAACGAACGGGAGAAGAACCGCAAGGCAAAATGCATTATCCAGATGAACGGCCAGTCGACGATGATCAAGAATCCAGAGAATGAGAGAGAGGAGCCCAAGAAGTTTGCTTACGACTTCTCTTACTGGTCTCATGATGGGTACAAGGAGAACAAGGAAGGCTACTTAGAACCAACAGACAAGAAATATGCAGACCAGGTACTACTACTACTGACATAGTCTTAAAGGCTGGGCCTGTTTGATTGTCACGATCATTTATTTTATTTATTTATTTATTAACAAATATTTATACAGGATGACAATATCAGCCAAAGCCCTTTTTTCATTGGTCCTGTATATACATGGTAAAATACAAAATAACAATGAAATAAAAATATAAAATATACTACAAGGATATTAAATAAGTTAACATTTAAAAAAATAATCAGCAATTAGAGACATGGATGTACATTCATGAACTATATCCAGATCTGTAAATAGTTCCCAAGTGGCCTTCTGAAGTGAATGCAGGAGACTTTGCAGTGGTACATGTACTGATTCAAGAAACTTAGTGAAGACAGCTTATTAGCAGAGTAGTGAGATAGCACCTGCTACACTGATCCCTTCTGAATATATTGCAGCCCTGGTTTAGGGATGATTACATGTAATGTATATTCATCAATCAAATGGGAGGGATTGGACCTCAAATGAAAACTCCAAGCCAAGTTCAATACCCTTTGTGTCAATGTGTAGGCCTTTGGAAATGTGGCAGAAAGTGTAACTTCCATATTAAAGATAGCAAGGAGCTTGTAACTCCTGTCAACTCGAGCCAGGCATAGAAAAAAAATGGAATGTTTTAAATGTCAAAAGGTGCAAGCTGTGTTCATGGCCCAGTCTTTTAATAGTTTTGATTACGGTATTAAATACAAAATTGATTGAAAATTGATACCAGTCACAACTTTGTATTAAAGAATTAGGAGTTTCCAATTGATTGAAGGACTTATGTGTGTGATAAATCCGGATCGATTGCAACTCTAGGAATGAAACTTGATTGAAACAATTTTTGCTTCTATCATGTCATGTAAAAACTGCAGTCTGCAAATATTTGGGCATTGTTTTGTTATTTTGTTTGGATATTAATTGATTGACTGATTGATTTCAAGCACCTTTGAAGCACGTACTACATGTAGGTACATTAATGTTTTACTCCTTCTTGCTTTATCAATGCAGAAAACAGTCTTCTCAGATCTTGGACAGAGTGTTCTAGCCAATGCCTGGAAAGGCTACAACTGTTGTCTCTTTGCCTATGGACAGACAGGCAGTGGAAAGTCTTACTCTATCGTCGGCTATGGTGCAAATAAGGGTAAGGCTTTAACTCTTTCTATATGCCACACAAATAATCTCCCTCTGCCACACTGTATTTATCACGGGATAGATAAACACCAAAGGCTTCAAGATTACTTGAATGTTTTCAGTGAAAGAGTAATCTATCCATGTTAGAAGTGTGGTCATGGAGCTAATCAAGACGGGAAACTGATAATTTTGCAAAAAAATTGTGTTATACAAAGCAATCTTTCTGTCAATTGGTTCCTATTGTTTCATGCAAAATTGCACGTATGGCAAATGAGTGACTGTGCAGAGAGTCAAAGAAAGCAACTAAAGTAAAGGTAGACATTATATCATTATGTAAACATTTTATCCAAGCAATGTCTGACATTACTATGGATCATTTTAAAATGATTTTAATGCTGGTGATAACATGCCATAAACAAATGTTATCATGCATATTAAGGACTTTGAACTTCTGGAATATCATGACTTGCTATTCACATAGCAATGGGGTGTGAATTATGACTTTAGGTACATAGGTCCTTTATGGTTCTATGCATGATACAAAAATCGTTTTGTATACAGTGCGTCCCAGAAAAAACGAAACCGAGAAGTATCGATGTTCTATCATAACTTAATCACAACTATAATGAATGAATGATACTTATTTGCAAAGCTTAGAGTCTCCTCTTTCATGTGATGCTACTCGGATAATGCATATTTCACGCATGAGTGATTAAAAGCAATTTGAAGGACGGAAACCAAAAAGACATTTGGTGGGCAGTTTCTGAATTTCGAAGAAAAATTCACATTTCTAGAAAGTTGAGTTTCTGACCTTTCATATGACACCTCAATCAGGAAAAATGAGCGAAGAATGACAAAGTTCTGTTTGTTTGAAGTAGTGCTTGCATTTCCATAATTTTATTAAACGAATTCGTTTTCACTGGCTGCCTGCCGTATCAATAAACAAAATTAACAAAAGACTTAACTCCATTTCGTTGACAATCAGCCGTAGACGAGAGTCTTCATGCATGGTTGATTGTCAACGAAACGGAGTTAAGTCTTTGTCAAATCTGCTTTTTGCTACGGCAGGCACCCAGTGAAAATGAATTCATTTGTTAAAATTATGAAAATGTAAGGGCTACTTTAAACAAACAGAACTTTGTTATTCCTGGCTCATTTTTCTTGATTGAGGTATCATATGAAAGAGCAGAACATGAACTTTCTAGAAATATGAATTTTTCTTTGAAATTCAGATACCGCCAGCCAAACTACTTTTTGGTTTCCTTCCTTCCTTCAAATTGCTTTTAATCACTCATGTGTGAAATATGCATCACGTGAGTAGCATCAACTGAAAGAGGAGACTCTAAGCTTTCCAAATATGTATCATTCATTAATTATGGTTGTGATTAAGTTATGATTAAACATCGATACTTCTCGGTTTCGTTTTTTCTGGGACGCACTGTATAGTATTTGTAGAAAAAAAGAAAGAAATAAAGGGTATCATAAATGAGTGTTAATTATCCATGATGTGATTCTTTGGTTTAGGTATTGTTCCTGTGGCATGTTCAGAGTTATTCCGAGGGATTGGGGAGAAGAAGAAAAATGCAGACAAGTCAAAGGAAGAAGAATACCAGGTAATAAAGCATCTTATTTTGTCTGCTTTTTGATGAAAAGTGGTCCCTTCCTTTTAAACATATTGCAAAGAAAAATTAAAATTAAAAAAAGAAAACAGCTAATCAAAACACATTATTCACAGGACCCTAGAATATCTAAATTTATTTAAATTCAATTTTAACAAACACTTGTGTTTTAATTCTTGCTGGAATCAATTGCATCCCGTTGAAGCTTTTAATATGTGTCCCACCTTCTAATACATACATCTTTTCTCAGCACCCAAGGTAATATATATATATAGGGGTTGAACTAAGAGGTAACTTCAAATGAAATATACACATGTACCCCCTTTTTAAATGTATACAGTACTTGTAATCAGATCTGAAGTACATTTTTAAGCATGAGATTTTAAAGACATTATGATGGAAAATCCCATACAAGCATATAATATTCAGCTTTTGGATGTTCCTTCAAACTTGCTTCAATAAGGCCTAAACAAAAAGAAGTTTTATTGACCTTTAGGTGCCAAAACATGGATCAGTTGGTCAGAAAACTTTTAAAAATATTTTTTAAATACTTTTTTTTACTTTTTTTACTCCGTCTGTAGGCTGATATTTTTCGGTTTTGAATGCTTTAAATCTTTTTTTTCTTCTAAAAAACGGTCAAAAAACAAAAACGTTTTTAAAAAGCTGACCGTAGATTTTTAGATTTTTGGGTCGGTCGCAAAGGGCAATACATAACCTTTTTTTTAGGCCTGATATACAGACCAATTTTTTTATAAAGAACACTTTTCTTTTCTCTCAATCTTGAATGGTTTATCATATACACATGTTTTACTGTATACACTTTGTTTACCTTGCAGGTGTTTGTCAGTATGTTGGAGATCTACAACGAGCAGGTCCGTGACCTCCTTATGCCGGCTAGCTTCAAGGTCAAAGGAGGGTTAAAGGTCAGAGAGCATCCGCAGAAAGGTTTCTACGGTGAGCAATCACAATAAGTTACACCTGGGCCCTGTTTCATAAAACTTGTTATCAATAATAAATGCTCAATTTCTATTGCAAAATGGCTCTGAGCCAATCAAATGCCACACTTTCAGTAGCTTATAACAGCTTTTGTGAGTTGTTTAATGGATAACATGTTTTATGAAACAGGGCCCTGTGCATCGTGACATTCAGCTCATGAGAGCTAGTAAATGCTCTGGAAACAAATAGACAGCTTGTCAAGAATTCAAGAAATTCTAAAGTCACCACTATTAAAAGGACTCTCTCTTTCCTATAGAACATGTAAAATGAGCTGCCACATGCAAACAAAATTAAACTTGTGAGCAACGAAAGTATTTCAGGTACTCTACTGGCATCACAAACAAATTTTTATGTTGTATTGAACACCTCATTATCATAATTCAGTCACAACCCCAACCAACACTAAACAGACCAAATGTTGTCTATTTGGAGTAATGTAATATTTGTTGGTTTATTGTCAGTCTTGTGTCTGTGTTGTGGGGTAGACTTGAGTAACCATCAAATTCAATTATTTTCTTGAAATTTTCAGTAATTGGCAAATTGAGTTTTTAACTAACCATACTTTGTTCTCCTCCCTCTTGATTTGTAGTGGAGCAACAAGCCACATTCCCTGTTATGAGTTATGACGATATCAACAACAAGATCAACGAAGGAACGAGGAATAGGACGATTGCTTCAACAAATATGAACGCAACCAGCAGGTAAGTATCATAGAATCTATTTTACAAGTATGAGCATAATTGGCTACAGTATGAAAGTTTGAACTTGAACATGAACCTGAACCTGAAGGAAAAAATCTAAACTTATGACAACATTTGAACTTTTTAGTAAATTTTGAAGGCTTGGGCAAAGAAGGCAAGGGACTAATGATATCTCTCAGAATCAAAGTTGTAATTGATTAAAGCTGTAATTGATCGAGAGTTTGACTTTCTATTTCAATGTTTAGAATAAGAACCACTGCAAAACAAACCGCAAGTTGTGTAAAGGTAAATAACAAACTCACTGGAAAAAATAATTATCCTTCTCGTGGTTTTCTCTCTGCAGTCGAGCACACACCATCGTTTCAATACGTTTCATCCAGAAAGGCAGGAACGAGACGGGGAAGAACATGACTAAGACATCTATCATCAATCTAGTAGATTTAGCTGGAAGGTAAGAAAACCAGTGATTGCAGCTAGGGTCAATTTTTTTTTTTTTTTTTTTTTTTTTTGGGGGGGGGGGGGGGGTGGGTGGAGGATTTTCAGTGAAAGATTTGGTAGTATTGGGGTAACAGGAAATAGATGAAAAGAAGATGCAGCAATCTACACCCCATCAATACATACCTGTGAAAAAAATCAAAAAGAAGTGTATTGGGTTTTTACAGACGTGTATCAATCAGATATGATTATCTGGGGACCGACCTTTAGACGTCACCATACGAAAGACGTGACTCAGTTTCGAACCTGCGTCCTAGGCTGAATCAGTTTGTAACTTCCATTGTAAGCTGGTTTACAGGTGCACGCCACAAAGGAGGGTCAATTTCTGGACATAAATGGGTTTTTTTTTATGTTGAGCTTGTTTAATGAGGATTTAAAATAAAAAATTATTGAAAGAATAGGTAGTATTGTGGTGACAGGAGACAGATTAAAAGAAGATACAGCTACCTTTCCCTCATCAATAACATTAAAGCCTATCTGCACTAGTTTGGCCAGGAGGCATTAGACCTCCCTTCATGGTCACTGACAGGTGGTTATCTCATCAAATCAGCTCTCAATTAACATAAGAAAAAGGGGACCATGGTGGACCAATGGTCACTGATTAGGCATTATTTGCTATATAGAGGGCACAAGTAGCTATAAGTAGTGCAGTGGGGCTTTAAAAAGACGATTCCATGAATCTCATTTCATTGTTCTTTTGTAATATATCATTTCAGTGAGAGAGTAGATAGTACTGGAGCGACAGGAGACAGATTAAAAGAAGGAGCAGCAATAAATCTCTCTCTCTCATCGCTTGGAAACGTCATAAAGGCACTGGCTGATATGGGTGCTGGAAAGAAAGGAATAAGAGGTAACTCTTAAAAATTGTTCTAAAAATCACAAAATTTGTAGATCCTAAGGAATGCTTTGCATACAAGCTCATAGGCCATTTTCGTAATGTAACCAAATTTATGCACATGCCTTTGTGAAGCGCCTGAATATGAATCATTCATTTATCTGTTACGAATATATGTATCTCAATAGTATGAATTCAAATTGCATTCATTAGTTGTTGCAAGGTAGGACAAACATTTATGGCTTGCTCTTCCTAACGATACAATCTATATCCAATTATTTTTATTCTGACTATTGACATACAATTATTTGTAACAGGTCATTGAAATAAATTGATGCACCTAAGGATGAATTTGGTTACATTACGAAAATGGCTTATTGTCTTCTTTGATAATCTGTGCCATATTTGCTGGTCAGGTTTGGGTAGACTAAGAATAAGAATTTTACTGTCTCATCTCATTTGTTTGGTTTGTTCTTGTTTGTTTCTGATACAGTTCCGTACAGAGATTCCAAACTTACAATGTTACTAAAGAACGCCTTAGGAGGAAACAGCAAAACAATTATGGTGAGTAATTGTCTTAAAACTGTCATCATTCAAGAAGAAAGTCCCCTATTCTCTACCCTCATTTACCCTTTTATTATACTGGCCTACGTAATTTTTGATTTATTATTATATATATTTCCAACTTCTTGTTTGTTGTTAATGCAAGATGCATGAACTTGGTTCCTTGGATGTGTTATGGATGAGTTGTGGTACTTTTGATACCCAGTACTGTGTCTGATATTCAAAAGTAGAAGAAGAAATGATATACAAATAGAAGCTAAAAAGTATTTTGAGAAATGATAATAGACATAGGGAAATAATTAGATAGATGCTTCGAAAGATACATTGAATGAAGAAAGTAAAGAAGTAACAAGTAGTGCTTTACCTAATGAATTACACAAAAAACTAAATGATAAAATTGCTTTGTTTTTTGTTATTTGTACAGTCAAACCTTCCATTAGTGACCACCTGTATAGAAAGACCACCTCTCTACAAAGACCACATTTTTTTGCTTCCCTTGAAAATGGTTTCTCATTGAAGCATGTTCTATAGGCACCTTTACATAAAGACCACCTGCCTATGAAGACCATGTTTCTTGTCTCCCTTGGGTGATCTTTATAGACAGGTTTCACTGTATCAGTCTTCAGACATACTTTACAAGGATTTTTCTTAAATAGACCAACATGAAAAATAGAATTAGGAGGAAATGCAATGAATGGGAAATTAAGATTTAAATGTATACCCCTATATCGATGTTGATTTCTTGCTAAATCTTGTTGTCTTGTTCTCTTGAATTCCTTAGATTGCTGCTATAAGTCCAGCAGATATCAACTTTGATGAAACGTTATCAACTCTCAGATATGGTAAGATCATTACCGTTCTTTTTTATTTGTATTCATTTAATATCCAGGAGAATGCAATGTAACACAGACATCAATATAAACAATACAGAGAAAAAGATAATGGGTACCAGTCAGTGCCTGTGGATTGCCTAAAAGGATTAGAATTTTACTAACGATCATTAAAAATGATATAATAATAGTGATAATTTGTTAACATCAATAATTTTAACCAGTCTCTAAAGATGTACATTTTTTCCTTCCTTTTGTAATTCAACAGCATTGACATGTTATTAGTTAAGACGATATTTTATCATGTTAAACATGTAATTTCTCCTTTAACCCTATGTTAACTGGGGGGGGGGGGGGGGGGGGGGGGTCAATTTGACCCTTGACCCTCCCCTGTAGAAAATTTCGCGACTACTCCGAAACCGCGGCAAATATAAAATTTTCCTTTCATGACTTTTTTCTTTTGAGTCTTATGCATCTTTTAAAACAATTTTTTTGAAAATCGGACTTATAGTTACAAAGTCACGTGACCTTTTGTCTTCGCATGTCAGCCCGAAAATCGCTAATTTTTGTAATTTGTGTACAAAACATATGGAAATGTCATTTTTCCTAAAAAGAGATAAAACATTGGTTATTTAGTCTTGTTTAAAGTTTAGGTGTTTGTTTTGGGTCAAAATAGTTGAATTGTAGTTATAAATGAAATAAAACAATAAAATACATAAGTTAAAAAAACAATGAAATACATAAGAAATTATCAAAACAAGAGATAACTTAAGGAATAACCTGGCTCTTCCAATTTTTTGTGTTTTATTATTACTCCAAATGGTCTAACAAATATATGTAGTGAAAAAGAATGCTTAAATATGAATAATGTATGATTTATGGGCAAAAATGTGAATTTTATGACCTTATTTGCATAAATTACCATAAATATGCAAATGAGTGAATTTTTCAAAAAAATTGAAATAAACCATAGTATTCTTTACACTTCACTTGACATGTATGCAAATTTTCGCGGTGATCGGCAGTGAAACAGCCGAGATCTTAGGGGGGGGGGGTCAAATTGACCCCCCCCCCCCCCCAGTAAAAACCTGGTCTGAAATAGCCCAGTTAAAATAGGGTAATCTTAATTTTGTTTTTAGTTTTCAATGAAGTATTGTTTTCAGAATCAGAATACTTTCTTAACTGATAAAAGTACAACAATACTCTTTAAGAGGGATGTACCCTTATGGAAGAAGAAATAGAATTAATTTACTGTAGCTATTTGAAATGTTCATAAGATACAAGTTTGTTCTTTTGCTAATTATGAAGCGCATAGGGATGGAAATATATTATGCGCTATATGAGCCTGACATTGGATGCTGCTTGTAAATATCAGCTTGCATGGTGACGTAGATATACAGTAGGCTTGCCATTGCACCATTTGAGAGAGGGGGAGGATTGGGGATCGGTAATCTTACTTTCTTGAGTGTACATAGTCCTGAAAAGGTCTTACATTATTATCATTTTTATTATGTACAAAAAAAGTATTTTGAAATAATGTTTTGTTATATCCCATGGATAATAATGATCCCTCTACCCATTCAATCATTGTTCACTACTTGATCAGCTGACAGAGCCAAGGCTATCAAGACCAAAGCGGTTGTGAACGAGAGTCCTACAGACAAACTAATCCGAGAGCTGAAGGAGGAGAACGCCAGGCTCCTGAAGGAGCTGCAGGGGAAGGGAGGAGGAGGCAAGGAGGCAGCCATACTCCAGGGAATACCGGAAGACGGTACAGAAAATATCCTCTGTTGAGACCCAGAAGGGTGTTAACTAATGTACAAATAATACACAGCAGTGAGGGCATTAGGAAGAATTACCCACACAAGGTACCTTTGGAACAGTCTAACATGCCCGAGGCGATAGTCGAGGGTGTTTGGACTGTTTTGAAGGTACCGAGTGGGTAGTTTTACTAATGCCCGATGATGTGTATTATTTGTTTTTATAAGATTATGTTTTATAACATGATTTTACTAATGACAGGTCATTATCAAAATTACGTGTTATGCAAAATAAATGCCAGTTCACATGTACGCTCTCAACCAATCATTTGAATTGGATCCAGGTCATCATCTTATAATAAAAAGTATCCATCTCTTAAAGATAAAGACCAGTTATGGTCAAGCGATTGCATTGTGAAAGAAACTTTGTGAAATCAATCAGAAAAGGTTGATCATCTAGCATAGATGTACTGCAAGGTTCTGGAATCATCAAAATGATAAGAATTTGGCCCAGTCTTCATAAAGTTACAAGCACTGTACACAGAAAGATGTATATGGGACTACGCACACGTGCGCGACACATGCGTTTTTATCTCTCACAGTCCAATAGATAAACTAATTTACCAAATATATCAGATAGTAGGCGGTTTCCCGGCAAAATTTTTATCATCATGTATTATTCAAAACATATTCTTTCACATGATTGGTAATAAGAGCTTCCATTTCATTTTTTGAAATTGGGGCGTTTCCAATACTGGTCTTTACCTTTAAGGTATTCAAGGTGCCTATTATTCTTGCTCTCGTCCAGCTGCCCTAAGGCACTAACTGACTAACAGCATTCAAGGAATAAATTCCTACCAGGTACCAATTTACTACACCTGGGTTGAGAGTGGCAAATGTAGATTAATGTCTTGCCAAAAGGACATTAGTACTGCAGCTGGACTTGATTGCAAACCATGATATCCACAGTCTGGTGACGTATCCCCTAGACCATGAAAACTCTATATGAACACATGGTTAGCACCCTTCTTCCTCTCTGCAGATGATTTTATGTCTTTAAAAGGCAAAATTGTTCTTGTACAGTATTGTTTTGAAAGCTAATATTGATTTCAGGTATTGGAATTCAGAGAAAAACATACTTTAATATAAAGTCTTCTGTCTCAGAATAGGAAATTTTTATAGAGGAAAATGAGAATAAAATTGAAAATCCTTCTTGTTCTACATCAGATACTAATCTTCTATTTGCCATGAAGATAGATAATATATGTAAGGGGCTCTGCTTTTAAAGAGATGTAATGAAAAGATGAATGTTCCGTCTTAAAATACATAATTCATACCATCTCTGTCCATCTCTCACTCTCTCTGTCTCTCTCTGTCTCTCTCTTTCTCTCTGTCTGTATATCTCTCTGTCTCTCCCTCTCTCTCTTTCTGTATCTCTGTCTGTATGTCTGCCTCCCTTTCTGTCGCTCTGTCTGTCTGTCTCTCTCCTCTCTCTCGTCTCTCTCTCCCTCCCTCCCTCTCTCTCTGTCTGTCTCTCTGTGCCTGTCTGTCTCCCCTCTCTCATCTCTCCATCTCTCTCTCTCTGTCTGTCTCTCTCCCCTCTCTCACGCCTCTCTCTCTCTCTCTCTGTGCCTGTCTGTCTCCCCCTCTCTCGTCTCTCTGTCTCTCTCTCTATCTGTTTCTATGTTCTCTCTGTCTCTCCCACCTGCCTGTCTCTCTCTCTCTTTCTCTCTCCATCTCTCTCTCTCCATCTCTCTCTCTCTCTGTATGATTGATTGATGAGTAGAAGTGGAGGAGATGAAGAGTGAGCTTGAGAGGCAGCTGCAGCAGAACCAATCCGAGATGGAATCCATGAAGAAATCCTGGGAGCAGAAACTAAAAGAAGTTCACACGGCGCAGGAGGTAGTTCCATATCATTAAATGATCATAGTATTCCTTTCTTATAGGGCATTTTACATTATGATGTAACATCTACATGTATGAAATTACAAAGGACTTTCAATATTATTACCCTCGCTGGCTTTAGCTCAACCAACTGTAGCACTCAATGCATTCAAGGAATGATTCATATCAGGTACCCTCTCGCTACACCTATGTTGAGTGTGGGGAATGTAAGTGTAGATTAATTTTAATTAAGGACAGTAATGCTATGGCTGGCAATAAAACCCCCTTACCTTGTGATCATTGACTTATCCACTAGATCGTATCACCACTTCATTTGTCCTTGAAGAAGGAACTCCCTTCTCTGGCCACTCCGCCCTCAGAATTAGATTTGATATTGAAATCTAGTACCAGTGCACTATTGCTTTGAGTCCTTCCTGAGGAATTTTGTTATTGAAGATTGTTGTCATGGTCATACATGTAGTTGTCCAGGGTTGGGGAAGTCAGGATTTTAGCCTTTCCATTTGATAAACTTTTGTTGAGAAAGATCTTAAGCAGCTTGCTCTCAACACGACAACTTGACAAGTCTTAACGCTTGCTTTTTGATTCTCTCTCCTGTTCTTGATCCCTGCAGCAAGAATTAGCGAAGGAGAAGAAGAAGCACGAGGAGATGAAGGTCACGCCCCATTTCTGGAACCTTAACGAGGACCCCGCCCTGACGGGAATGATCATCCACTTCATCAAGCAGGTCTGACCAAGGTGGGAAGTGATAAGGCTCATCCTGCAGCAGATATGGTGCTCTCGGGTCTCAAGTAAGTCTTCTGTGTCTTTATTGAGTTTTAAAGTGATTCTGTAACATTGCCCCAGATTCTGAAACAAAATCCTGGATTTGGCTCATGCCGCAATCATAATTATAAGCCTTTAGGCCAGTCAGGAATCCCATGACTTTTAAAAGCCCATCGCTTGTGATTGGAATTCGAAATTTCATTTTTTGTTTTCCTAACGGTTTTTATAACACTACAGTCTATTTAGGAAAATGAGCATGGTAAAACCGGTCACTCAAAGACTTTTACTTTTTTGAGGCACTTCATGATCATTTTGAAGTGCAATTTTTTTAGGGCTTCAATATTACTCCATATCACAGACACTGATAACACCTAGGTCCATGCATCTCAGATTTAACATTGTTAAACGATGCCTTTAACACACACATACCTGCCAACCACCCCGATTTAGGCGGAGTTCCTCCGCATTTTTCATACCAACTCCGAATTCCGAATGCATGCCTCAAAACTCCGATTTTTTTTTTTTTTTAATTTAATTTTTTTTTTTTTTTTTTTTTTTTTTTTTTTTTTTTTTTTTTTTTTTTTTTTTTTTTTTTTTTTTTTTTTTTTTTAGAGTGTAATGCACTTGGAGAGTATATAACTATTATGTTTGTATTTCGAAATGTAAAGCGCCTTGAGCATGTTCATGTAAAGGTGCTCAATAAATACCAATATGTATGTATGTATGTATAGACTAAAGCATAACCCAACATCCGCGCTCGCGCTCATAGAAGATATACACAGCGCAGCTCGAACGTGATCGTTAGTTCCCCCCCCCCCCCAATCTACGGGCTACTACCCCAATCCTTCGGTGGTTCGCGACCTCGTAGTCCATCCAGAAAAATTTACTCCTAATTTCTCTTGTCTCAGGTTGGCAGGTATGCACACAGTGTGTATTAAATTCAGACACGCTTATCTAACTCTGAGGACTTATCTCCATGTAATACAGGATTAAAAACTCTGGGTTGTTGAATAAGCAACTCAGAGAAAGGACCAAGTCACATCTGCTCGAGTCTTAAGTATAAAGTGGCCCTTCTCTCTGGTTTTAAAGCTTGAAGCCTGTACCACTTGTACATTTCCGAAGGAGTACTTTGTAGAGTTGTAACGTGGGGGCCTTTATGTATTTGTAGAATAATTTCACTTATTGGATGAGGTGTGAAACGGCTAATGGAAAGGTTCAACAATTTGGCTTTTTTTTTTTTTTTTTGTCTTTTATGTTAGCATGATTTAAATCAGTATGACAAACATGATCTACATGTATGTACCGGAAGTACCGTCTTATTCATTATCCTTTTTTCTTTATCTCTCTCTCTCTCTCTCTCTCTCTCTCTCTCTTTCTCTCTCTAACTTCTTTTCCCCCACTCCCCTCTACCCCCGTCTTTTGCAGCATGGAGAAGGAACATGCTGTGATTTCAAACCGAGCCAATACAGTGATCATCAAGCCCTGTCTACCTGCCAAGGTTCTTGTGAATGGTAAACCGCTGACAGACAGGGGAGAGCTACATCATAATGACAGGTAATTCCTCCAGGGATGATGATGGTGGTGGTGGTGGTGGTGGTGGTGGTGGTGGTGAAGGTGGTTATGTTAGGGATGGTGGCGATGATGATGATGATGATGTTGGTTGTGTTCCTAAGTAATTTAAGAGTGGTTTTTTTTTGGGGGGATGGGGGGGGGGGGGTGAGAAAATCAAGATTCAAATTACTTTATCATGTTTCTGCCATGAAATAAGGAATTGTGCCTAATATATGCTGATTGTGCAGTTGATCTCAAATACTGGGGTTTACAAAACAAATCTTAAAGAAGCCTCTCCCATGAAAGCCTTTAACATTATCACCTACATATAGACGAAGACGTACCTTGTTTTCTTCTGTTACAGGGTTCTGTTTGGATCCAAGCATCTCTACGTCGTCCACCATCCCCAAGATCTTGCTAAGAATCCTAAGAAAGAGAAAGAAGTATCTGAGGAGAAACCCACCTACAGCAAAGCTCAGGAAGAGATTGCAGCAAACTCTGGCTTTGAGATAAAGAAAGGACCAAACAGATCAAAAGGTACACTCAATCATTCATTTGATCCAGGCCCTTTTTCATAAAACATGTTATCAAGAACAAATGCAAAATTTCTATGACAAATTTGCTCTCGGCCAATCAAGTGACACCATATCAATAGGTTATAAGAGTTATTGTAATTTGTTATTGATATAAAGAAAGGACCAAACAGATCCTAAGGTACGATCAATTATTTATTCGATCATGGCCCTGTTTCATACTGTTAACATAACAAATGCTAAATTCTATGACAAATTTGCTCTCGGCCAATCAGATGCCACGATTTCAGTAGGTTTTAAGAGTTATTGTAACTTGTTTTTGATAACATGTTTTACAAAACAGGGTCTTGGTCTAATACCAATCATCTTCTCCTAAAGAAATGAATACTCGGAGCAGTTAGGAATTTTGAAATCGCATTTCAAAATTTATTTATTATTTTATCATACAAATTCCTTGTTATAATCTACACAGAGTAGAATAGCCTTTTCCTAGGTTTTGAAGTCTTACTTACAGACCTAGTGCCCTGGAGATGTATATGGGGAAACTGAAAAAGTTTGAATTCTATTTTAACTTTAACAACATGAGAATGGACTATTACATGGGAAAAGATATACCGTATACAAGGCTTTCAAAAATGTGGGAATCATTTGTTGACATGTCATTTATCTGATGGTAAAATATGTGTGTATATTACTTCTTGCGTTTCATTTTGATTGCTTTTGATATAGATGAGTTGCTGATTCAAGAAGATCTTGTTGAGTTGATCCCTCATGTAAGTGAAGCAAATGCAATGAGTGAGGAGCTGAAGAAAAGAGTTCGCTTTGAGATCGCGCTCATATCACCGCAGGCTAGGGGGGCTAAGCATGGCAGGACGGAGGTGAGTCTTGCAGGCCTGATAATTATCTGATTTAAATTGGTTTCCCAATTTTTTTTTTTTTTTTTTTTTTTTGTGTGCCTGATTTCTCCCCCCCCCCCCCCGAATTTCCAGAATTTGTCCCCAATTTTCTTACTCGAAAGGGAGGAATATTGTTAGATGTCATCCCCCCCCCCTTTTTTTTTAGTGCTCACTGGTCGTGGATTATTGAGAACAGTATCCAATAGCCAAGATTACTATTGTGTTCATTGTATAAATTAATGTTACATGCAACGACCTGTGCTGATGAATGATATGAAAGTAAATATATGTATAGATTGAATTCAGTTGGCATAAATTGGTTATTACTACATCAGGTAATCCTCTGTCAAGCATTATGTCATGATGATCATGAACAACTTTTTTTCTTCAGAAGCGTGCAGAAATTTCAATACATACACCCATGTATCATGAATTGTTCTATTCCGAAGTGCACAAAATGTGTACTTCGGTGCAAAGATCAAATGTGAATGCAGTTTTAAAGTGTGCAGCAGTTTTTATTCATTTTATAATTACCTATCAGAGAATATTCTCTGATTCAAGTGTACTACATGTACCTGTATATAAGGACTTCTCTCTGCATTTCTCAACGGTCTACAGGTTTCAATATGCATGAAGAACGTAGACAACGATAATGAGTTCCTCTGGACAAGGAACAAGTTTCTAAATCGCAAGTACCTCATGCAAGAGATGTATCAGAACTATACAGATGGTGACAAGGATTGGGATGTAGAACAGGTACACGACGAAGATGATGATAATGATTATAATGGTGGTAATGGTGGTGGTGGTGGTGGTGGTGGTGGTGGTGGTGGTGGTGGTGGTGGTGGTGGTGGTGATGGTGGTGGTTGTGGTTGTGGTTGTGGTGGGGTTGGTGGTTATGATGATCATGATGATCATGATGATGCTGGTGATGATAATGATGATGATTGTGATTATGATGATGATGAATATGGGGATGATGTTGATTACGATAATGATAATGATGTGAATGCCGATGGTGGTGGTTATAATAATAATACTCATGGGGGATGTGATGAAGGAGATACAAAAACCCACTACTGAAGACCAGTTCCCATTTCAAACTTTTCAAACCTCTTCCATTTCAGAACAAAGACCCGTTCTGGGAGCCGCCTGAGACGGAGGTCCTCATCGGCTGCGTTCACGTTTACCTTCAGAGCCTGGCATACCTGATCGAGATCGAGGAACTCCTTGGAATCGGTGACTTCCGAGGCATCGAGCAGGGTCTGCTTCAGGTGGACATCCGTCCATGCAAGGCGGATGGCTCTCCTCTCCCCGATGAAGAGTTTGTGGATGAGCCTAAGGAATTGGTCAGTAAAGGACTAGGATTAAAGTTATTCTGCATAAGGAATTATTAGCATAAAGAATGAGGAATTGGTCAGTAAAGGACTAGGATTAAAGTTATTCTGCATAAGGAATTATCAGCATAAAGAATGAGGAATTGGTCAGTAAAGGACTAGGATTAAAGTTATTCTGCATAAGGAATTATCAGCATAAAGAATGAGGAATTGGTCAGTAAAGGACTAGGATTAAAGTTATTCTGCATAAGGAATTATTAGCATAAAGAATGAGGAATTGGTCAGTAAAGGACTAGGATTAAAGTTATTCTGCATAAGGAATTATTAGCATAAAGAATGAGGAATTGGTCAGTAAAGGACTAGGATTAAAGTTATTCTGCATAAGGAATTATCAGCATAAAGAATGAGGAATTGGTCAGTAAAGGACTAGGATTAAAGTTATTCTGCATAAGGAATTATCAGCATAAAGAATGAGGAATTGGTCAGTAAAGGACTAGGATTAAAGTTATTCTGCATAAGGAATTGTTAGCATAAAGAATAAGGAATTTGATTAGGAATTGGTCAGTATAGGATGAGGATTTAAATTATTCTGCATTAGGAATTATTCATAAAAATAAGGATTGGTTAATGCATAATTTATATTCAAGATATTCTGCATAATGAATTATTGAAAAGAAGAATATAATTGGTCATTATATGATAAGGATTGAAGTTATTCTGCTTTAGGAGTTAATGAAATGACGAAGATAAAACTGGTCTATATATATTAATAAGGTTATTGTGAAATAGGAATTATTGGAATAAAGAAAAATGATTTGGTTAGTAAATTTTTAGAATTAACATTATTTAGCATTAACAACTATTGGAATAAGTACAGTGCTATTTGATTTTGTGTGTTTGCTCAGTAAGAATGACATATATATATATATATTGCATGAGAGGACCTCATAGGTCAGCTGCAGATGATGCTGTACCGACTGCCTGATTCAGAGTAAAAGCTTTCTTTTACAACCAGTGGTTCTGTTAAGTGCTCCGAAATAATGCGTAAGGAACTATCGAAATGAGTGTTTACAAGCTCTGATAGGCTGTACAATGGAATAATTTAAATCACCCATTAACAAACTCCTAGGAAAAAAGGAGTATATGCAATTTCACTTTTATTCAGATTTATAGCATAAGTATTACTCTTCTTTTCCCCCTTTTTTTTCTGATTTTGTTATTAAAGATTGGGAAGAGCACTAACTTCAAGTTCCATGTTTCACATGCAAGAGGTCTACCTGCAAGAATAGCCAAGGTACTTTTCAAATGTTGCTACATATTTTCAGGACAAGGTTTTCACATTTTGTGATTTGGCTGTATAACTTTATAAATGTACAACTGATACTGAGCAAAAAGTGTCTGAGAAAAGAAGGGGGAGGGGGGGGGGGGGGGTGAGGAATGAATGGTCGCTGGTTTCTAATTTCATTGTGTCACAGTGACAGTAGTGTGCATGCAGAAAATTTATTCTGTTTGTTGCTTGATGTAGATGTTGATAGTATCAGATTAGGGTGAGGGCGATTTTTAGTCTTCTGAGGAGATAAAATTAATTCATGTTATTGGTGAGTGATACACTTGAGAAGCTTTATGAATTGAACCTTATAAGACTAATCATAATAATAATAATACAAATAATGATAATATGGATATTCATATAGCACCGGTTTCTGCCAGGTTTTGACGCTCATTACGCTTTACACATATTACCCTGGTTATAGCTGAGCTGTCAAAGTAACTAGCGCTCAAGCATATCAGTTACTCATTTACACCTGGGTGGAGAGTGGCAAATGTTGATAAATATCTTGCCGAAGGACATTAGTGCCGCGGCAGGACTTGAACCCGGTAACTTGTGATCTGCAGTCGGGTGACTTATTCACTAGAACACAACACCTCTGGGAAGGGGCCAATGGCCAAAAATGTTAAGAAATTTTCTACTACAGAAATGATTGAAAATAGTACTTTCCCTAATACATGTTTTCAGTTTCATATGTCATTTTATACAAGCTTTTTTTTAAAAATTAAAACCACCCAAAGATATGTAACAATTTGTCCATTCTGATGTCAAAACCAAATTACTTGTATTTTTAGGGAAAGTGAAAATTCAACATTTACATGCATTGATGCTTTCTTTCTTCCCTCCATGAAGAGCTTCTGTCGATACAAGTTCTATCAAAACCGAGAACCGGCTCAGTCAGCTGAAGTAGAGGGCAGAAATCCAGAATACAAACATGATAAAATATTCTCAACTACAATCATCACACCAGAGGTAATTTTCTTTTTTAATACTCTGTAGAATCTTTGATGTAGAATGTAAAATGTGTGCTCATACAAAACATGTTGAAAATAATAATGTAAAAGGTCTGCTTTAATGTTTGTTGTAGAAAATGAAAATACATTTAACACTCCAGAAATGTTAAATAACACTTATAAAGTAAGGTTGTATGATAAATTTTTGTTTTCCTTTTTTTTATTGAAGGATTGAAAACATAAAAGTAATACCTGAAATTCCACTGTCCAAATGTCATGTTTGTTTTGTTTTTGAGGTTTTTTGTATTTCTTCATTTTACTCAATTAATCAATTGATAGAAGATGTATTTTTTTTTACTGAGCTTATCGTATACATAGTACATGTATAAATCACCAACACCAGTATTAAAAGATGCATAAGAATAAAAAAGCATGTCCATGAAATATTGTAGGAATATTATGAGACAGTACATGTATTCATGGATGTTTTTTAAGTGTTTTGAAGAAGAAAACAAAATCTTATTATGATTAATGATCCTAGCCCTTTAATGAGGTACCTGTGCAGTCTTAGTGATTACATGTAGAGCAAGATGACATGTCTGCAAAGACCACATATCTGGTTTCCATTAAGCAGCATTATGCATTTAACGTTTATTTAAATGAACCCGTACATAAAGACCAACTGCTCGGAAGGTAAAATGCCTTTTCTTGTCTTTCTACAGAGGTTGTTATCTAAGGTTTAATTGAACCAAAAGATGCCCAAATTCCAATCTCATACTTAAAAATAAAAACAACCTTTTTCTCTGATGCAGATGCTGAAGTACTTGGAGAATGAATCATTAATCATTGAGGTGTGGGGGCGCCAGAGAGATATGGCATCGCCCGAGAGGAGATCGCTTGGTGGTGATATCAAGAGGAGCACGTCTATCGTAAGCAAAGTTGTTGAAATGTTGTTGGCTTAGAAATTTTGACTCAGCTTCAGTCAACTCATATCTTGAAGATAAAGTTAAGCTCTGGTAAAATAATTTGAATGATAAGGGGGGGGGGAAGGGTTCGGTCTTGCTAAAAAGCACATTCACTGAACACAGAAATTGGCATATGGGACCAATCCTATTTTTGAAGGTCAAGGAATGTTAAGTTGATGGACTATTCATGCATCTTAATGTTATTAAGGCACAATGATTAAGGCACAACTAATATTTTTCAACTAAACATATTCGAACCTGTTGAATACTATTATAGCTTGATATGACTCTTGAGAATATGCAGTATACTAACCAAAAAAGATTAGGTTATTCTCAACTGGTAATTGCTGGACAGCTGTTATTGACATAATTTGAAATCTATTAATCTGTGTTTTGACATTTGTAAATTCATATATGTATATCTATAAACATGTACATGTACATGTATATTCTCTCATTGCATTTACCAGACAAGTGATGAGAAGTACAAACTCAATGTTGAACTGAACACAGAGAAGAAGAGGGTCCAACGATTGGAAGCAAAATTGGTAAGTCCCCACCCCTAGCTGCCATTACAGCCCTCTCGCATTTTAAGGAACTAATTCCTGTCAGGTACCCATTAACCTCTCCTGGGTCGAGTGTGGCAAATGTAGATAATGCCTTGACAAAGGACATTGGTGCCATGTCGGGGATCGAACCACGACCTTTGAATTTCAAGCAAAGTGCTTAAACCACTTTACTACGACACTTCTACAATACAATACTATTATTGCTAAGCATGGTAGACTTCTCCAAAATACTGAGCCCCTGTCTGTCTCTCTTCCTTCTCACTCTGATCTCCAGCAAAAGATCCAGGAGCTGGTCAGTGAGGCGGTCAAGCACAAGAAGAAAACCCTCGACATAATAGACGTCCAGGAGGTCCTGTACGCCGGCGGTCAGCAGCGCTTCAAGGCCGCGGCCACCGTCATCGGCCTGACCGAACAGATGGGCAAGGTGGGCACACAGGGAAAGGTGAAGAGTAAAACTTGCACACTCCATTAGATATTAATGAGGAGGGTATTAATCCATTGACTCCTGGTTTCTTTTATTACCATAGCCTTAATACAGGAGCCAACCTGTTTCATCAGGTAATGGGTTAATGGTAAATCATGCATGTAGGCAGGGCACTATATTAATAGCTTCCTAGGGGGCATATTGAAGGTTGTATGGTCTGTATGAGCCCTTTGTTGACATTTTGAAATTTGGGGATCAGACCCAGATTTTGGATGGCCATGTGTCCCAGGCACCAGCTGGTGTTGAGCCCTGTATTAAGGTCACCAGACACCACCCCTTCCCTTAGTACTGAGTCTGAGTAATCTCTGGTTAAGCTATATGAAAAAATGTGTGCTATACCAAAAAGGCATAAGTTTATCTACTTGTAAAGGGATAAGCTATCTGGCTTTATTGCATGTATATAAATGTGGAATGCATTTTAACATGCAATTGATAGTTAGACTTTCTTTTTATAGTGAGCTAGATTTATCTCAGGGCTAGGTTCTGTGAAAAGTGTGTCATACCAAATAGTGATAGGGTAAGCTACATGTATCTGAATATGCCACGGAGTCACCCCCCTTCCCCTCCCCAGAAAATGTTAAAATCAGTGGGGATATGCTTTGAACCACAATTGCCTTTGAGACTTGCCATTTGGCTATCAAAATTTGTCATGGTACAAAATTATACTTGTGTGAGCAAGTTTGAGTCGCTTTGAAAATGAAATAAACTGAGTTTATGTTGTGTTAATTTCTCTGTGACAACTACAGTGCATTCCTGTACGAAAGGCCTGAAATATGAAATATGAAATATGAAATGTGCATTATATTTGATGGGTGTATGCTGTGAATGTTAACTGGCTCATATTTTGAATTGTATTTAAACAAAAAATGATATACAATGAATATTTGATGTGGTCAAACCATCGGTCATCTATGCAATTACTAGTCCATGTTTTATCAGAAAAAACTATGAATCATGTACGGTATCTTCTATTTTAGTTGTTTTAAATTGGCAAAGTGATCACATTATTAAAGTTTTAAAATATTGATTTTTCATTTGTGAAGTACATGTATTAAGAAAATGAAAGGTGATTCCTGCTCTAAATTAGCTTTCATATTTATTACATGTATTGTATTCTTTGTATAAGTTTTGTGCAGTAGAGTTCAACCATACATTTTCTTTTAAATTTGTGTTTATCTACTCTACTTGTGACCAAACTCATTGTTGCCATTACTTTACACACAAGTGGACTTTAAACCTTCTTGGCTTCCTATCAAGCCTGGGGAGTGTTTCACATAGACTAAGATCGAATCGACTTAACGGGATCCGGTAACTTTGTCTTAGATCCTTTAGAAATAATCCTTGATTTAGCTCATGCTGCAATGATAATTATAAACCTTTAGGTCAGTCAGGAACTCCATGACTTTTACAACCCGATCGCTCGTCTGATTATCAAGATATTAATGATTGGAATTACAAATTGAGGCACTTCTTGATCATTTTGAAGTGCGATTTTTTTAGGGCTTCAATATTACACCATATAACAGACACTCGTAACATGTAGGACCGTGTATCTCAGATTTAACATTGTTAAACGATCCCTTTAAGTTGGACTTGAACTATGGCAGGCCATTCATACCACTGGGTTGCTCTCATCATTGGTCTCTCAAGGGATGTCACAAATCTACAGAATTTACATTTTTGATAGTTCATTGTTGAAGAAAAAAAAGTTACTTACATTGTAAACTTACATTATATTTAAGACTTGGACTTGTACTACGGTATGCGATTTATGCCCTTAAAAAGTCTTGAACCAGATGTAAAATTAGAGGGAAAAACCTTAGGAATTATGATCAATAGATAATATTTTTTCCTTCAATAATGTACTATCAATTTTTTTTTTTTTTTAAAGATTTGTGACCCGGATTTGTACGTCCCTTGAGAAACCAATGCCAGGAATGGTTAGAGGAACTAGTGGCATGAACGACCTGCCATAGTTCAAGTCCAACTTAGGTTGATCTAAGAGGCTGTTCACACCGGCAGAGATAGCGCGCGCTAGACCGCGCCATCTCTGCGGTTTGGAAGGAACAACGTCGTTTCGGTCCGCCCAACAGCGAGCCACGGCAAGCCAAAACGGCGTGCCACTGGAGCACCTCTTGGGGGTGGTCCACGAGAGAGAGCGCGGTCTAGCGCGCACTAGAAAAAAGGGGGTGCTACGATAAACTGCGCTATCTCATTGCGTTGTGAACAGCCTCTTAGTCTTTGTGAAGCACTCCCCTGTGCTCATTTAAATCTCTCATTCAGGTGATCAATATAATGGTTATGTTTTTGTTGTTTGTTTCTTTTCTTTCTTGCATGTTGGTGGCAGGTCTAGCGAGGCAGGAGGGTTCGCGTGCAAGTATACGTGATTTCAGACACTACATTAACCCTAGTGTTAGTAATATTTCTGGTGTTTTAATTAACCTCGGCTGAATAAAGCAGCTGTTCCTCTTGCAATTGACAATTAACATTTATATTTATCTTTCACTTTAACAACCTTCACACAAAATTGCATGCTCCTCAATAATTTCGAGAAAAAGTAATTTGTACTGGAAAACAATGGCTTTGCTTATCGTTGCAAGTGGCCAATTTGAAGGAATATTAACCTTATGTAGGAGGTTTGGTCTTTGTAGAAATGTAACAATCAAGAGAAGGGATGAATAAAAGTATAGAAAAAATGTCAGGCATTTTTAATACCGCATCACAAGAACAAGCCTTAATATCATTTTAATGAAATGTAATTTTATATTTCGACCATATTACGTAGTTGCTCATCACTGTTAAAATACAACTCAGTCAAGATGACTTCCTTGGTAAATAGCATTCAGCTTGTGATGAATGCCCTACCTGATAGATGCAGTATAGACTCTAGCTACGCAGACATGTGCATTATTTTCCAAAATTGTGCCTTGCTTTCCTCTTGCTTTCTGTTGGTTTCAATCATTTGTTTCATCCGTTTTTCTTGTCCTTTTATTTGTCAAGTTATGCATTCCGAAATTCAGTTAACATTTAGTTTTAGACCATTTCATGGTGTTTTGTTCGACTTGTAGTAATGCAAAAATACAGTCAAACCTGCTTTAGTGACCACCTGTCTACAAAGATTACATTTTTTGTTTCCCTTGAAAATGGTTTTTCATTGAGACATGTACTAAAGGAACCTGTCTACAAAGACCACTATTTGTGTTTCCCTTGAGCAGGTGCTATAGACAGGTTCGACTGTACATGAATGAAATCTGATAATTTTAGCTGATTGACATGAGGCCTAATGAACACATGTCATAGCACCGTGTGTCCCGTCTTCATTGGTCAATTCAAACACTTCTTCAGATCTCGTTCATTTTTCAATCTATTCAATTTTGATTGATTTGGTAAAGAAAGCAGCCGTGCCAATCGATTGACAGAATCTTGAAACATTGCCCCCCCCCCCACTGTTATGCACAATTATCATGAAATGTTGTATACCGGTAGTCTTTAATCTGTTCCATTTCATTCTGTTTTGTTTCATTGGCTGGAAGGAACCATGCAACACCCATGTATTGATATTTCTAATTTCTTCACAGAATTTTGAAATTTGCGCCACCTTAATTAGTAGTTATCATAATTTGTAGAAATTTAAAGGCAGTGTATTCTATTGGTTCCTCTACTCAAGCATCATCAGTTGAAGATGCATTCTGGTGATGATGTATTCTCAAATATGTAATCATTTCTGTTGGTTAAAAATGAGCACTTTTTGATAGATGTTCTTGTTTTAATTTCATTCATGCACTCATTCCAGTTTCTACTGCATTTTAGATTCATTTCCAATCATGATTTCAATCATATTCCATGATTTTTTCCTCTCCTCAAGTATTCACTTGTTTTGTTCTTCTTACTTCATCATTCCAATCACAAATGTAATAATTCTTTTATATGTGTATGTATACGTACATATTCTACATGCTTGTATTTCTGTGTGTGCTGGAATTTGTTTTTGTTGATGCTATTAAGTAATGTAGTCGTTAATCAAACTAATGTTTTCCGTCTCTGCTGTAAGCCCTTTGATGGAGATAGATTATCGTATTCACATGTCAATTAAGCTGTCTTTCAATCTACATGCATCTGAATAAATTATATTAGAAGTATGGTTATCCCATCAGCACATTACACATTGACATACCTGCCAAATTTGGAATATTCCAATTTTTTCATTTTTTCTGAATGACCAAATAATGATAATTATTATTATTATTATTATTATTATTTTTAAAAGCCAAATTTAGGTTGTTTAACCATGTGCTGGGATTTCGCATATTGTGTGCATTGAATGGCTGCACAATGTATTTGTTTTTTTGTGTACAGATTTACTGTGTATTGGCCATAATTGGCATACATGGATGGCCATGGTAAGGCCTTGCGATGGCCTGTTCAATGCACATATACATGTATGCCTGTACCCCCGCAGGAGCACGGGTCTGCTTACCCAGACCCCCCCCCCCCCCCCCCCTAAGGGTAGAGATTTCTTATTTTCAAATGTGGGCAGGTATGAGTACAGTGTCTTTATATGGTAGCTGCGCTATATGAATTGATCTTATAATTATTATTATTATTTTCATTATAGTTATCAATATTATTGTACCGGTAATTATAATTACAATTTTTATTATCATTTTCATTATTATTATCATTATTTGTAATATTATTATCAGTATTATCATTATTATTATTATTATAAATAATAAATACATGTGTAAGTACTGTTGTGGTTGTTATTATTATTATTATTATTATTATTATTATTATTATTTTCATCATTATTATTATCATTATTATTTGTATTATTATTATTATAAATACATGTGGTAGTACTGTTATGATTGTTATATTATTATTGTTATAATATCTGCTTTCAAGGAAACAAAAATGATACAAATATCACTTTGTTCATTTGTAGTCCAACTTAAAGTCGATCTTGGTCTTTGTGAAACACATCCCAGGTAAGAAGGAAGTCTACAGGTACTTTTAGTGCGTTAAGCAGGTTGACTGCATGAAGACAGGTGTTTTTAATGGATAGGTTTCCTAGATAAACAGTCAACAACTAAATCATTCATACCCTTACCATATTTCGTAATTTGTTAAGTATGTGAAAAAGTATGTTTCTTGAGAATGTGACTTATTAAAGCTTATATCTAAAAAATATTCACTGCAGGCCCTAATTGTGCCGTCCACCTTTAATTCTTGAGTTAAAACACAAAAGACATCAAATTCACAAGGGGCATAAATAATTTAGTTGTTAACTGGATGTAATTACCGACAGTTAACACTTTTGTGAGAAAATGTTTACTTTTCTTATTGATTACAAACTTGACACTTTCAAAGCTCTCACAATGTTAAAGATAAAGACCTGTTGTGGTCATGCCATTGCATTGTGAAAGAAACGTTGTGGAATCGATCAGAAAAGGTTGATCATCTAGCATATAAGTATTGATGTGTACTGCAAGGTTCTGGAATCATCAAAGTAATAAGAAATTTGGCCCAGGCTTGGTAAAGAGTAACAAGCACTGTATACAAAAAGATGTATATGGGACTACGCGACATGTGCGCGATATCTATCAGGTCCAAATAGATATAATACTTTACCAAATACACACTGTATATCAATTAGTAGGCGGTTTCCAAATAAAATTTGTATCATCACGTATTAGTAAAAACATTCTTTCACATGATTGGTAATAAGAGCTTCTATTTCATTTTTTTTGAGAGGGGGCGTTTCCAAAACTGGTCTTTACCTTTCACTGTACCTAAACAGTTGAGTATTGCAAAGAGCCCTTTCTGTTCATTGGTCTGTAGTTCATGATTTTATTAAATACATAGATATTCAATTTATTAATGTGGGTCCATCACCTTGAATTTCAAATGTTATATATATCATGTGGATGAGAATTTGTTAGTTAACATTTTTTAACTGCTAATTAAATTGAATCAATCATCTTGAAATTGTACATTTATTGCTACTGATTATGACATTTATCAGTTAAGTCATCAATTTGACTAGTTAAAACTGTCTTGAAAAGCTAGTGTAAGTGTTACATGTGTATGAAATCAGTGCTAATGTATCATGAGTCAATATTATATTATATAATAATAGAGCTTATATTAAATTAATCCATTAGTTGTGTTTATGTTTTAATAAGACCAACCGTCTTCAAACGTTTATGTCACTGATTATGTCTACATAAATTTATCAATATTTGTCAATCACCTTGAAATGCCAACGTCTTTGTAAATGTTTATGAAAATAATAATACTGTATTAAATTTGACCAACTACCTTGAAATGCTAAGAAAAATATGTATGAAATTTATCAATGTATTAATGTGATTAAATCACCTTGTCTAATCAAATCAGTATATTAAAATAAGCATGTGCTAGAATAAAAGAAACTTACTTTTTGTGAAAATTATGTATTCAATTCATTTACTGTATCATGATTATTTCACTAAACAGTATTTATTGAGATGTAGATGTAAAGAAAATAAGTTGCATGACGATCAAGGTGACAATGTGGAGGTGAAATTTGGTGGTATTTTGGTGTAGTGGTTTCTTCACTAGACTTTATTCACGAGGTTAAGGGTTTGATTCCCAACCAGCTATTGCCATTACCCATCCAGGTGACGTATACCGAGTAGATCGATTTCGGTTCTTGATTCTGTTGGTCTGCAGGGGCGTCTCTAAAGGGGGTGTGGGGGGGGGGTGCGACACCCCCCACCCCACCTGTCACGATATTGTCGGTAAAATTGCGCTGCCGTCGGGAAAAATAAAAAAGGGGGAGGGGAAAAAAGAGAGGGAAAGGGAAAGAAGAGAAACAAAGAAAAGAAAAGAAAAGAAAGGAAAGAGGAGAGAAGAAAGAAAGAGAAAAAAGAAAATAGGGAGGAGAGGAAAGAAACGAAATGAAAGAAAAGAAAGAAAAGGAGAAAAGGAAAAAAGAAAAGAAAAGAAAGAAAAAGGAAAGAGAGGGGGAGTAAGAGCCTGAGACAGGAGGGGTGGGAATAAAAGAAAGAGGGGGGTTGTTGGGTGGAGTCGTCTTGTCGAGGGAGCAAAAAAGACACGCATAAATATGTTGCTGTGTCGGTATTCTTGCTCGATTCTCGTGTACTATATCAATGCAAAAGTTTGAAGTTGGTGAGATGTATAATGTTGGTAGGCCGACAAGTTTTTTTTTTCCTACGAACTGTGACTTTTTATCCGCTGTGACGACTTCGAGAGAGACTGCAATTATAATACTTGTACTTTCTCGAAGTTTCACTTTTCTATAATATCAGCTAAAGAAATCAGAGGTTTAAAATTTCCGGGAAACTAAATTGAAATAAGGATTAAGAGTCAAGAACGTTACAACGAATAGTCTTTTTTCCCTCTAATATTTTAATGAAACGCCAAAGCTTCCGCGCTTCGCGCGGGAAGGGGAAACTTCATTCAGACAATGAGACAAGGGTTAAGAGTCCAGAACGGTACAACGAATCGTCGTCTTTCTCTCATAATTTAAGGAAACGTCTAAGCTTTCGCGCGAGAGGGGGAAAACTGAATTCAGATAAGGATTAAGTCAAGATCGGTTCAACGAATCGTCTTCTTTCTCTAATAATTTAAGGAAACGTCTCAGCTTCCGTGCCAAGCACGGGAGGGGGAAAACTGAATTCAGATAAGGATAAAGAGTCGAGAACAATACAACGAATCTTCTGCTTTTTCTCATAGTTTAAGGAAATGTCGAAGCTTCTGCGCTTCGCGCGGGAGGAGGAAAACTGAATCTTGACAATTGCGGTCAAAAGTCGCGAACGGTAAATGAATCGTCTTTCTAAAATAATTCAATGAAACGTCAAAGCTTCCATGCTTCGCGCGGGAGGGGGGGGGGGGAACTTCATTCAGACAAGGATTAAGAGTCGAGAAAGATACAACGAATCGTATCCTTTCTCTAATAATTTAAGGAAACGTGACTGTGACTTTTTATCCGCTGTGACGACTTCGAGAGAGACTGCAATTATAATACTTGTATTTTCTCGAAGTTTCACTTTCCTATAATATCAGCTAAAGAAATCAGAGGTTTAAAATTTTCGGGGAAACTGAATTAAAATAAGGATTAAGAGTCAAGAACGTTACAACGAATAGTCTTTTTTTCTCTAATATTTTAATGAAACGCCTAAGATTCCGCGCTTCGTGCGGGAAGGGGAAACTTCATTCAGACAATGAGACAAGGATTAAGAGAACGTCTAAGCTTCCAAGCTTCGCGCGAGAGGGGGGAAACTGAATTCTGACAATTAGGGTGAAGAATCGTGAACGGTAAATAAATAGCTTCTTTCTAAAAATAATTCAATGAAACGTCAAAGCTTCGCGCGGGTGTAAGGGGGGGGGGGGGGGGGGGGGGGACTGATTTCAGACATTTAGAGTTAAGAGTCGCGAACGGTACAACGAATAGTCTTCTTTCTATAATAATTCAAGGAAACGTCAAAGCTTCCGCGTTGAAAGGGGGGAAACTTCATTCAGACAAGGATGAAGAGTCGAGAACGGTACAACAAATCGTCTTCTTTTTATAATAATTTAATAAAACGTCAAAGCTTTCGCGCGGGAGGGGGGAAACTGAATTCAGACAATTAGGGTTAAGAGTCGTACGTGAACGGTAAATAAATAGCTTCTTTCTAAAAATAATTCAATGAAACGTCAAAGCTTCGCGCGGGAGGGGGGGGGGGGGACTTAATTCAGACAAGGGTTAAGAGTCGAGAACGGTACAACGAATCGTCTTTTTTCTCTAATAATTTTATGAAACGTCTAAGCTTCCGCGCTTCGGGCGGGATGCCCTTCACCCACCCCCTAAGGGAGTGCGCTTCACGTGCTCTTTAAGTGATTCGCTTGCTCACTACCGTCCCCCTAAAATAAGATCCTAGCTACGCGTCTGCATTTAAATATATAGCTATATGATGCTGACTAAGTTGACGAAATAATTCTTATATTTATGTCCTCGAGGAAAAGGACCATTTGCGCATACGCAGGTACTATAGATAGTTCATATGAAGAAAAAAAATGAGGCTTCGGCTCCGGGTTTATAGGGTTAAATTTGTAGACATTTTGTCGGTAATTGGTGGCGAGTTTTGTCGGTAATCGGTGGCCTCTACACACCCCTCCCCCCCCCCCCCACACTGAAAAAGGTCTGGCGACGCCCCTGTTGGTCTGCTCTGTACTTTAACAACAACTGTCCAAGGGCTCCGTGAGTGTATACCGAAAAGTGTACAGATAAATACTTGAAAAATATAAAGATTACAATTAAAACTGCGAATACAAAAAATTTAGCTATCAAAAGGCTTATGTATGATTTGAATGAATCTCAAGTTATTTATAGGTCTGTAATATGGAATAGCCTTGCCCGAGTGGATTACGACGGTATATCAAACGAGTTGAAGAACATATATCACTGTATATGTAGGCCGACAATCAAGTGCAGTATCTTCTGAACAAGTGCGTTGTTTGCGTCCAATTTGAGAAAATCCGTTTTTTAAATTCTCAATTGTATGGCAATTACTTTAACTCAAGATTTACCAAACTGATGAAACACCGTCATGTTAAGTAGTAGGATCAGTGAGTGTCTTTGTGTGCGTGCGTGTACAGGGTGTTT